ATATCAGCATTAACTACATAAAAGGCTAATATTTGGGAAATAACTGCAATTTCAATTGGAAAAAAAAAGTAAAGAAAACCAGAACAATTTCTGTAATCAAGACAACTCTATGGATGACAATCAAAGCACTGAAGCACATTTATCTAAGTTTTTGATGGGTGCTTTTTAATAACACAAGAAGGATTGCACAAAAGTTTCTATTTGTTTGGGATAGAAAAACCCACACTTTTTCCTTTTTTTTTTTCTTATCTCCTCATCCATAATCTGATGAGGGTTTAAATAGGAATGGAACAACTACTTCTCCCTGCTATCCAGGGAGCACGACGGCCAGTATCAGCCAACAAATCTCACAAAAGGATAAGATAAATGCTGGAAAAAAAACGGGGAAGTTGGTGCCGAACAGTTTGACCAGATCTTGTTGGGGTTTTGCTTGCTTCCATGCTACCGGAATCAGAGATATTTGGGATTCTTGACTGGGATCCTTGCTGATCTTCTGGTTGTCTCAGTTTTGTTACATAATTTCGGTGAATGAAAGGAAATTGAAGCACTAGAATACGTTAGTCAATTCGATTAATCTGCAATTGATGAAAAATAAGGGTTTCTAAGGACAAGCTCCAGATGTACATCACACCATCCATCAGCAACCTCACTAATCTAAATACAGGTCCCGTATTTATCCCTGAAAGTATTTATTCTACAGTCTACAACTATGTTATACAGCTATTCATCCAACATAGGTTCCTCCTGTCACTAATAAAAGAGCTTTACTTTAATCAGAGTTTCAAGTTTCAACTACAAGTCATATACCACAGTCATATAGACACAAGAAGGTTACAATAAATCAATTAAGCCCCTTTTATTTTTTTAGATAATTAAGGCCCTTTTATCAAAGAAGTAAATCAATTTGGATACAGACAGATGATACTGGATTTCTATAACTGCATTTCTTGTCACAGAAACCAGAGTTGCCTAGAAGGTTATCTAAATAATAAGAATTATTAGCCTCACCATTCTGTTCAGCTGGGTTGTCAAGGTAGGACTCTGCTACAGTATGAAGATGCATAAAAAATTCTTTCGTGAAATCTTTTCGGCGCTTGGTAACAACTTCGTTAATTTGTGAAGGGGCCTCTTTAATCACTTGAAGAAGTTCATTATGCCTTTGAACATCGTTATCAATCTACAAAAAAAGGGCTCTGTAGTAAGTAAAGATGGAAATGGCAGAAAGTTAGGTGTTTTGAAAACAAAACACATGTAAACTCTTCAGTTAATCTTAACCACCATCTCAAGGACTGTATTATCTTGACTTTTTTATCCTTTTTTGTTTGAGGAAAGAGCATTGTCTCTTTGACCAGGCAAAATTACTTCCACGAACTTGGTCTATTCAAAGTAATTGGCTGGGGAATCAATTAGACTAAAGAAGTTCAGGTGAGGGCAACTAACTCATCATTGTGATAACATGGCATTAGTATCAGCACTTCACAGTATGTAGTAAATGATAGAAGGCAGGCACAACATTGAGACAATAAATTCATATTTTAAAAAAGTAACTAGTAAACGCTTTGGATTCTCAAGATATAGGCCATGAAATGTTATAGAACCTACCTCTTTCAGCTTCCTTCCAAGCCGCAGTAGCTTATGCTTCATCCCTGGATCACTTTCAGCATCTGCTCGATCCTGGCATCGATTGGAGAAATGGGGTCTGATGTTGTTCCATTCTTTGCTAAAAGCTAGCAACCTTCTCCAGTCAGTTGGAGTAGGTTTGTCAACCATGAAAACCTCAATTAGCTTGTCACACACCTTGATCATTTTCTGATCATCCAGGCCTCTATTACCATCTTCTTCATCTCTCCTCTCGCCATCACTCCTGGATTCATCATGACCAGGCATGCAGTCCAAAGAATTTGACAACCGTATTTCCTCCATACTGAACTCATTTTGCACAGCCGTTTTATCACCGACAACAGCATGAATGGAGAATCGCCATGTCCTTCCTGGATTAACCAGCCAAAAACAACCTGAAATTACACAACGCTCACAATTTACACACGCATAGCCACAGCAATTCTTATGACATGAACCCTGGAGGAAAAAGTTTCAATAAACTTACAAAGAACATCACCTATGTTGCAAATCAGGCCAATAAAGAATCCTCAATCAATCAACAGTCCGTCTTAGTTCTTAATTGTAAATTACTTTCTTTTGGATACAAGAAACGACCAACAACTGACATGTATTCTGAAGAGAAGAGCCCAACCAATTGACACGTAAACTATGCAATGTACAGAGTTATAAGAAAATAAAATTTTCATTGATTTCAGCATTCGACAGCTAAATAAAAATTTCAAACTTCAAAACTTCTCTAAAAAAGATCTACTCTATCCTGGTCCTCCTATTTTCACAGTAACCAAATTGGAATCTAAGATTCAAGCAAAACTAATGAATAAAAAAAAAAGTAAAATTTCACCTTTTTTCAGTTTAGATGTAATGCAAGAATTTGGAGCCGAGTTTCTGGTAAAAGAAAGGGAACTACGAGCATACCTAGCTCGAGAATTTACGATATGAAAGTAAATAAATTGAAAAGAGGGAGATAGAGGAGAGAAGCGCAGCCAACTCCATACGAGAGCTGTTCAAAGATTATCGCAGATTCGCTGAGTTCTAAGCATGAACTTGG